AGGTTGCGGGTTTGATCCCTGGTCCGAGCACATACAGGAGGCAACCAATCAATGTTTCTCTCTCACATCAATGTTTCTCTCTCTCTCCCTCCCTCTCTCTCTAAAAATCAATAAAATCATACCCTCAGGTGACGATTAAGGAGGAGAGGGAGGGGAGTGGGAGGGGGAAGGGGAGGAGAAGAAGAGGAAGAGATTATAGGACCTGTAAGAACAGACGAGAGAGGAGCTGAAAAGGCTGCCTCACTCGGGAGATATGGGGGGCTAGGACTGTGTGCCCCACAAGTTCCAACATAGTTCTTTCAATTACTTCTTCAGGAATTCACCAGACCCACCTTAATTTGCAGCTGAGAATTCAGTATAGAGTCAATATACCAACAAGGCATCGCTCCCACCTTCCACTTACCCTGCTACCCTTCCTCCCTAAAGAACAGGGCACAGGTCTTACCAGGCCCATAGACTGGTCTTTCTTTTTTTGGTCTTCCTTTTTCTTGGAGAAAATTAGAATATTAAGGGCTGAACAGGACAAGGCACTGAATACCCAGCGGTGAGTGATGTGGTGCAGCTGGGCCTGCCCCAGAATGCCCTTCTGGATTCATCTTAATGCCTCCGCCCTGGGGAGCCAGCCTAAGTTAGGTTCCATCCCTATGTCCTATTTCCACTCCTTGAACCCATCATAGCACTAAGTGCACTAGAATTGCTTGTTAGTTGTCTGCCTTCTCTACTAGGTAGTAAGCTCCAAGAGACCAGGCACCAGTATTCACCACTGTATCTCTAGCCCCTGGAAATGTTCCCGGTACACAGTAAACCATGTAAATGTTTGATGAAGAAAGGAAGGGAGGGAGGACCTCTTCACCACCAGTCTTGTCTCAAATGGACCCAGAGCTGCCCTGTTTCATACTAAGCACTAAGATGTGGTCCCTCCCCTAAATGCTTAAAATTTATATGTTTCTCCAACCTCATATCCACCTTTAGGAAAACAAATGCAAGGGAAAGTCCTGTTGATTCCAAACCTCATGCTCTTTATTTTACCAAAGTGTTCAAAATGGAGCTCCTGAATCTAAGGGAGGGCCTCCAGTACATGAGACCCTGGGAGGGATTATGGGGCTCAAAAGGTCTAAGTCTAGCCTGGCCAGGCATGGCTCAGTTGTTGAGCGTTGACCTAGGATCCAGGCGATCCAGGTTCGATTCCCGGTCAGGGCACATGCCTGGGTTGCGGGCTCCGTCCCCAGTTGGGGGCGCGCAGGAGGCAGCTGATCAATGACTCTCATCATTGATGTTTCTCTCTCTCTCTCCCTTTCCCTTCCTCCCTCTGTAATCAATAAAGATATATTTTAAAAATAAAGTTACTTAAATTTTAAAAAGAAAAAGAAAAAAAAGGTCTAAGTCTAGTGTTCTAATCCTAGCTCTGCCACCTCTGCTGTATGACCTCCAGTGAGTGACTTCTCCCTCTCCCAGTTCTCTTCTCTGTAAAATGATGGGGTGAACCAGACCTTGTATGAAAATAAAAGCAATTGAGTGCATTTGACTATTTATGCCATTGGGTGTAATTGGACAGTATCCTCTTCCTAGACGCTTAGCGGCAGCATAGATGCAGAGTCTAAATCAGCTGAAGGGGCAGGGAAGATAGTATATGCCCATTTCCACCTGTAAACAGTAAGGCCCAGGATGTGCCACCCCTCTGGAAAGTGGTCAGGGATGGATGGTGGGCTGCAGGGGACCTTGCCTCAGGAAGGGCCCACCCACACTTGCCTATGTGTCTTTGCCTCTAGGATTGCAAAAGAGAAGACTCTGAAGCCCCAGAACCTTCAAGGCACCACCAAGCATGACCCCCTACTTCCTATTCAAAAACAATGCACCCTCATGTCAACCCTCCCCCTTCAGAGGGACTACCCAGGAGAAATAGTTGGTGGGGGGTGCAGGATGGTGAGGCCTGGAAAAGCACTGGTGGTGCCAGGCTTCCTGGCTGGGCCCCATTTCAAGCTTCCTCAGAAAGTGCAGGTGGGGAGCCTGCTGGTCTCCCTGCAGTGGTTTCTTAGGAAGGACAGTGCACTTGGTGGACACAGGCATCAAAGGCTTCCTGGCTTCAGTCCAAGCAGCTGGCAGGTTCCTCCTTCTCCCCAGAGCCCCACACCACCACTTCCGCCCCCCAGCCCCCGCTTGAGCTCTTCCTCCCAGGATTTCTATGCCCACGTCTGCCCACCCTTGTGCAGAGCTTTCCCTCTCCCTTCAGAACCCTTATTTCACTCTCCGTCTCCACATATATAGGTGTGTTTTTTTCTTTTTCTCTCTCCTCCTCCTCCCCTGCTTCTCTCCCCCTTGCCATCCTTCAGGAGCCCCTGAATGGGTCTGCCTCCCTTCGTCCCTCTCCGCCAGCATCTCCCTCCTCAGCTCTCACCCCTGCACCTCTTCCTTTGTATTCCTCCCGCTCCCTCCCGGCCTCGCCAGCATCTCTCCTCCCCCGCCTGGCTTCGGCCTCCCCCAGCCTCCCCTTCTTCAGCTAGTCTCCTCCCCCTTACTCCCCTCCCCTCGGCCTCACCCCACTCCCTGCCAGAATCCCAAGGGTTTTTTCCACCGTGGGGGTCCCTGTGCCTCTCATTCTACGGTCTACCTGCCTCCCCCTCACGGCAGGTTTATCAGGCATCCATCCCTCTCTGCCCGAGCATCTCCCCACCCCTGCCGGCGTTGCCATGGTCTCTTCTATCTCCTCTCCCCACCCTCCCCACCCTCTCCTCTCCTCTCCTCACCCTGCCCCTTTAAATCTGCCTGGCCCAGCCTCCCCCGTGATGCTGGGATGGAGCAAACATTGATTTGTGCTGGGATGGAATCGGAATTTTGATATTTTTTTCCTCTCCCAACCATAAGAAGAAAAAACATCATAAATACACCCCCCTTTGGTAGCCCCCTCTCCCTTCCCACCCAGCTCTTAGCTCCTCTTCCTTTATCTCCATCCGAGGCAGAATTTTTTCCCTACACTATTCCCCCACCCCGCCACCC